TGTAAATGCTTCTAAGTTGCTCCCAAAGTTGACCCCTAGCACCCACAAGTCGCTCACCATTACCTTCTCACTTTTATTCTTTCCCTCTTCTGATTTTTAGTCTAGTTTGCAAATCTAATAAGTGCAGATCTTTGCTCATGCACTGTGATACATGGTGCATCTGCCGTGGCACACAGCACAAAGATGCTCAAACACATTTTAGACCTCTCTCCGTACCACAATTCACTCAAACTCTGACTGTAAGGCTGTCCAACGACCCAATAACTACATTAGTCTTCTAAAAATATTATTAATTAAAAATTCACTTAAATTTACTAATCTACCTTTCTAAACACTTGAAATTCCAATATCTGAAATCTAGAATGTTACATATTACATTACATGCCATAACCTTAGCTCTTCTTGGCCGTAGAAACATGGATTTTAGGGGATAGCAATTACCACATGGAAATAATTCCATATATTCATCAAAGTACAATAATCACATCTCAATCCTAATGTCAATCATGCCAAAATATAACATATAAATGTATGTGCTTGATGACTCCCTTATTTTTATGTTTTGAATGAATTTTGTTAGCAAATTAGAGAGTCATCTCCTTTATTTTGGCTAATTTTCTCATTAGTTTGTCATACTTTGTAAATGAGTCATTCTCTTTTAATTATTATAATTTACAAGTGTTTTTCAATAAAAAGAGTGGTACTTATATTTTGAGGGAACCTAGCAAGGAGATGAAAGAAATTGAATAAAGAAAAACAAGAACGATAATGAAAAATTAATATCTTGAAGGGTGGTTATGGCACCTGCCATGACAGGTGTGTGCTACAAGACAACAAAAAAATAGAGAGCACTGGGCTGATGGCACCTGCCACGGTGACATCTCATGGCAAAACGCACAACATCATTTTTTGAGATATTTAAAGTACGGGAGGCTAGAGTTTTAATGAGTTCAACATATTGAACAATTTTTGAGGTTAGAGAGGTGATTTGGGAGCTTCAACCAATGTCTTGAAGGCATTTTTTAAAGATTGAAGAGCAATTTAAGTGGTTCTCGAATAGATTTTATGGAAATTTTTCTCTTGTACTCTATGCCTTCCATTCTTTGTATTAATTTCAAATTTTTGTGCATATTTAGATTTATGTATGGCTAATTTTGTTTTATCTTCGAGGATTCTATGAACCCTTTATGTTTTGTAATTAGATTTTTCCTTGATTATTGATGTACAATGGATATTTTGGTACTTAATATGAATTTATTTGTTCTCGTACCATTAGATGGCCAACTTTAGTATGCGTTTGGGTTTTGAAATTTGCCTTTGGAAGAAAGGGATTGCAATTAGATCATTTATTGAGAAACTTATGATTATAATTTATCTAATTTACGCTCGATATAGACATATGCTCAAGAGCCCTATGTAATCTTTGTAAGGCTTGTGCATAAGTGAATTTTGACTTGCACAAGACATTATATCATTATTTAGATTATGAGTTTTTGTTATTAACATTAGAGCTTTAGTTCTAAAGTTGAAATTAAACTCAATAATTAGGAGAAATTGAATTGCAAAGTATAGTAGGGGATTAGAATGCCTAGGGTATTCCTTGATTGCTTATCGTACATCAAAGTCATTTTATTACTTTTACTTGAAGTTAATTTTTAGTTCTTAAAAATTTCATTCTTTGATTGGTTAACTTAACTAAGATAAAAATAAATTTCATTCGTACCCAATTATTTTTACTTTAGTTTCTTGTGGAACGACCTTGATTCGTTTTACCATGTTTAATCCGCACATTTGTAGTGTGCGTTTGAATTTTGTGTGCATAAGTACTCATGGTCATAATTTCCAAAAGATAAAATCTATCAATATATACATATACAACAACAGACGTGACTATTTTCCAAATATTCCTTTCATATAGGGCAGGGTAAAAAAAAATCAATTTATTAGTATAAACATACTTATATAGATAAACACATGCAATCAAATTAGTTTTCTAAATCACTTTTCAAGTCTATTCCATTTCAGTACAATAATTTATAACTTTTCAAATATTAACCGACATTTGAAATAACAATATAATTCCAATCTTTTTCAAAAATCCCAACATCAATATATATTTTTAAATATAATTTTTCAAAGCATATATATATAGCATAAAATCATGCTTGATCAATATATATGCAGCTTAATATGAAAAATAGAATTTGTACAATGAATAATATTTCTGAAAACTCTTACAAACATTTGAAAACTACATATGTATATGCATGTCGTAATAATAATTAAATCTTAATTACCATAACCTTTTAAGTTAGAAGGGTGATATGGTAGTTAGAATTGGTTTAACAACCTAACATTAACCACACCTCAATCCAAAAACAAACACTCAATCATATAAGAATCCAATTCAAAACCTATAGAGCCCACATAACTATAACTATATCACAATCAAGTTTCAACCCAAAATAAGAACCAGAGAACACATGAATATAACCTTTGCAATTTGTCGTTACTCATTTTTCCAAGGTACTAAAAATATCACAGTAAAATGGCAAACAATCCTATCAATTTCAACCATTTAAACTAATTTCTCAATTTACTCTAAATATACTCTTTTCAGAGCAAGAATCTCAAATTCAAATTGATATACCAAATTAATTCTAAATCCAATGAAATTTTACACACAACATCCTCGTCACCTAAATTTTCTGACTAAATCAATTTCTTCCTTACATAGCATCCTATTTGTTCCAACCAAAAATCCCTTAAAAATTCAAACATAAATTCTGGAAAAAGGAAAAAAAAACTCATGAAACTATCAATCCAACTAAAGTTTCTTCTTCCTAGAGGTTTAACTAAGTTTCCATAGCTAAAATTTAAAGTTCCAAGGAAGAAGCTACTTCCAAAAGCAAAATCCCCTTTCATATAACTTAGGATTGATGAAATGGCACAAATTCTAATTTTCTACCATTTCAATCCCACTAGAAGCAATAGAAACCTTCATTTAACTCCCCAAACAATAAATCAACAGCCAAACAACTCAATTATCTCATAGTTTTAACTCTAAGTTTGGATTCAAGAGAGAAGAGAAAAATCAACCGACGAATCTTGAAGAAAATAGGAGTAGATTGGACATGAAACTTTACCTTGATAATTAAGAGTGATTAAATGCTTCAAAACAAGCTCAAAGTGCCAAATATTTGAGCTCTAGTAGAGCCTCAACGCTTCCCATTTGAAACCCCACACATTTGAAATGTTTTGCTATCTCTTTTTTAAAATTTGATAGTCCTCACCGAATTTTATCATGGATTATTTTTGTGACAAATACCCATTTTGTCCCAAAATTTGAAAATTCATAATTTATTCCACATATTTTCAAAAAATTATGAATTATGACTCTTTGAAAATCTTGTGGTGTCTACTTTCCAATGCACAATCACTTAAAAATACTGTCGTTTGCCCTTGAAAATTAACACTATTCATAAAATTTTAAAATATGATAAAGAAAATTATTTCCCTAACATTAACTTGATTTTTCTTATGGTCGTTTGGTAGCATGGAATTGGGGTGAGGGAAGTGGAAGTAGAACCCTTTTATATATATATATATATATATTTGTTACATAGGATGTTATTTTTTGAAGGAATCTAGTTCTACCAAAATTGATGGAATTCAGTTCTATCACACCTCTTATGGAACCAATTCGGTAAGACCCTACTTCTAACTTTATCCTCTCCAACTTTCTCTCCTCTTCCTCGATGATGACCCTTCCAACCTTCTATCCTCTTCTTTAATGATGACCCACCTCCTTCCTTGATGGCTCCTATTGGTGATGGTGAAGGAGCCACGATAGAGGTTGAAGCTAGCATTAAATATTAAACTTGGGTTATCTTCTCCACCTCTTCCATGGTGTCCCTCAACTCTGTCATTATTGTCGCTAGCACCTCTATTATCTTCTCCTTAAGTTTGATTTGCGCAACAATTTCTAGCGATGATGGTTTGATTTTTGGAATTGCATCCCAAATTTACACAATGATTGTTGGTTGATTTTGCTTGATTTGATTCATCTGCAGTTATGGCTGAATTTTGTTTTATTTTTCTATGGTTTATTTATTTTTCTATTTTTGATATAAATTTCCAAGCCTGTTGATTTCAATGATTGATAGAGATTATTTCAATGAATCTCCAGATTTGACTTTTGTTCTTTTAATTTCTTGGTTTGATAGAGATAGTTTGTTTTTTAATGTTTACTTATAGTGGATTTGAATGGTTTTTGGCTCAAATTTTTTTTTTTTGAGGGCATTTTAACATTTTCTTACTATAAACACATATTTTTATAAAAAATTTATACCTCCTTTCATAAACATATCAAACATGTTTTAAGATCCTATTTCCACTTTATTTCCACTTTCATCTCTGCTTCGTCAAAAATACTTCTATACTACCAAATGGACCATTAGTATTTAAGCATGTTTAGGAAATCATCTACATTCTAAAACAAGTATTAATTATGTGGAGTGTTACATAGACTATTTGGAATTCTAGCATGAGTGGAATCTCTCATAAAGCTCAACTAAGAACTTATTCATGCAGAAATCAAATTGATTCAAGAGCAAATGATCAAATAGAAATGGGGAACCATTTTGGAGGCCCATTCTCACATGATTGAGCTCTAGTTCGTGTGAAAATGAGTGCATAGAGTCAAACTACCATTTCAACTATTGATTCATGAGTGAGGTACTTATTCATACGTGAATGCAAGTTTATGATATAATTTTTTAGGTTAAGCTCAAAACTCTAATTCAATTTCATTTCTTAAAACTATTTTTCATTCATATAAAACCATTATATAAGCACTCAAGAAGGTTCTTACATGAGATTCTCGTAGGGATCCAACATTCTCCTCTCCTTCCTCTTTTTTTAACTGTGGCCAGTTGTTTATCAAAAAAAAAAAAAAAAACTTTTAAGAAGTTTTTTCATTGTCAACCAGAACGGACTCGCCGTTCTGAAGCATAAAAACCCTCAGAAGCAACTGAAACCCCTTTCCTGTGTCTGAGAAAAATCCCCCGGCTACGTGTGGGGAGAGTGCGCAACAATGTCGGGTCTTTCCTTTGGATCCTCTTTTGCTTCTTCCTCCCAATCTTCATCTCTACCTTCGTTCACCAACGCTTCATCATCTTCAGCTTCCGCTTTCTCGTTCGGATCCTCTCCTTCTACTTTCGGGTCATCCGCAGCCTCAACAGGTTTTTCATCTGCACCATCCCCTTTCCTCTCCTCCTCCTCCTCGAACCTTAGTTCTTCTTCTTCCGCACCATCTTTCTCTTTGCCATTCAACTCCGCCTCATCTTCTGCTTCTTCTTCTTCGCCTCTTTTCTCCGCTTCAACCACTGCCACCGCTTCCGTTCCCTCATTCGGGTTCGGATCCACTACCACTTCATCTTCTGCTTCTTCGGCGCCTTCATTCTCGTTCTTTAGTTCGTCGGCATCCGGCTCATTGAGTGCCACTTCATCGCTATTTGGGTCATCTTCTGCTGCTCCATCTTCTTCGCCTTCCCCATCGGCGGCGAGTTCCGGGTCGCCCCTTTTCGGGTCAGCTCCATCTGCAGCTTCCGGGTCATCTCTTTTTGGTTCATCGGCGCCGTCTTTGTTCAGGTCGTCGGCATCCTCTGCGACTGCTAGCTTACCCTTATTCTCCTCATCTTCAGCTGCAGGGGCCAGTTCCGGCTCCTCGCTGTTTGGGGCATCTTCTGCCGCGGCAAATTTTAGTGCTCCGTTGTTTGGAGCGACGACTCCTGGAACAACGCCGTTTGGGGCATCAGCTACCACCGCAAGCGCGGGTACATCTGCGTCCATCGCTGCTTTTGGGTCTTCCCTGTTCGCAGCTTCCTCGGTTTCTTCTTCACAAACAGCTGTTTCCTCAGCATTTCCTGCTTCAAATTTGTTTGGTTCTTCTTCGACTACATCTTTTACCACTAACACCTCTCCTTCGCTCTCAAGCCCGTTCTCTGCTGGCTCTACTCCAAGTTCAAATCCAGTTCCACTGATTTCCTCTTCTTCGGGCTTTTCCTTCTCTAGTGCTTCAGCATTTGCTAATCGGTCGGCGCCCACTACTGTAACTTCAGCAGCCCCTTCGCTGACATCGTCTTCCTCCTCCAGCACCTCCAGCTTCTCATTTGGAGCTTCCGCTTCCTCTTCTGCTCAATCTTCTTCAGGTTTTGGCAATGCAGCCTCAGGAAGTTCAATTTCTAGCACACCTGCCACAAAGACGCCTTCATTTTCATTTGCAACCTCTGCGGCTCCACTATTTTCAACGGTCACGACCTCTGCGGTTTCAACCCCAGCGTCTAGTTCTACAACCCAATCTACTTCTACACCTGCATTTGGTGTGAGTTCTTCTGCAAGTACTACATCAATTGCTGCCGCTTCTGCTGCGTCTTCAGGCAGTGGAGGATCTTTCACAGGTTTCAGTCTCACTAGCAGCACTGCTTCTTCAGGAGGTGCAAGTTCTACTACTGGCTTCTCTTTCTCAAATAAGACCTCGACTCCTGCCTCATCAACACCAGCAGTGTCAGGCAGCACTGCACCTGCATTTGGTGAGTTGGATACTTAAAATCTTTTTATCTGAGATATGTTGTTGCTTTTGTTTAGAGACCATCGCGATACTTGTTAGCAACTAGCGTGTGTTGCCTTTGCTAAACTCTGTTGTTTTCCGCATCAGAGTATAGTTAATTGATTTCTTCTTCCTTTGTATTTTTAGAAGCCCATTCTATTCTCCTTCAAAGCTCATTTTAATTTTCTACAATGCTTTTAGGATATGCTTTGTTGGTAGAAATAGGAGAAGTGACCATGAGTAGCTGAGGGCATGTTGAAGTAGATTATTTGATCCGTAATTTTAGTGATGCGAACTGTTGAATTTATTGATTATAACTTTGCAATCTCATAATTCTACTCAAGAAGATCAGTGAAAATTTACTAGGTAGCAGACATGCGAGAGGGTGCGGATAAATGGTTGATGACTTAAATGGAATTTATTTATGTGAGGTTCTGTTAGTTCCTGTAGCAATCATTGGTCACTAATGCTGCTTTTTTGATTCTTGCAAGTTTTTTCCAATTTCAAGTTTTGTGAAATTGGCGAAGGCTAGTGATGTGTAAATTGTAATTAACATGAAATATGATTGTTATATGTGTGTATGGTAGTTATGATAGGCAGCCGTTAGGGGTTAGGAACCTATATAAAAGGGGGATTATATGTAACTAAGATGATGTAACACACACTTGCACGGTGCTGGACAAAGGGAAAGAGTAGAGAGAAATCAGAAATAAGGAGGGAGAAATGAAGGAAATGAAGAACAGAATAGTGGGGGAGCAATGGAGGGAGATAGACGCAGAGATAGAGGGGGAGAGCTTCTGAAATTCAATCACAGTAATTCATTCATCAAGGGTCCATTACAAAAGCAAAGCCTAATCTATTTAAACTAAACTTTCCTACCTATTAAGGAAATCTTAATCACTTGTCCAAATAAAGCTATTGTTCAGATTTCCCTTCTAACAAAATAGTAAAATAACACCAAAGAAGCTACAAACTAGGTATGTTTCTTACAAGCTAAAGAAAATACAATAATAATAATCTACTAGTCTAGGTTTCTTCAAATATGTTATTCTCATATTTGAGTAATTCAGTGCTTTATTCATTTTTTTTCCTCGTTCTCTCTTCTGTCTTTCTATCTGTCTCGCCCCTCTTTACCACTATTCCTTGGCGAGATACTTATTTTGAGAAGCAATAAGTAGTGACAAGATTTACTGGGAATGCAGAATGTATTCACAACATGCATTTAATAATTAGACTTGTGAAGGCAGAAATGGGAAGGAAATTGCTGCATCTTGTGAAGCCTTCTTAGGGATAAAGCCTTTGTGGATTTGCAGTTCATTCTGTTATGTGTTGAACTTCATCCTGATAGACACAGTGGAACAAGGGAAAAACAAATGATGTTAGTTCTGGGACTTTACTTAATGTTAGGATTGATCCCCCCCCCCCGGGGCGGGAGTGGGGCCCCAAAAAACCCTTAATGGTGTTAGCTATAAGGACCGGTACTGCTAGAGCATTGTTGCGTAAAGATCTTATTAACACATCAGCCACAGGCTTGGGGGAAGTGCTGGTGATTTTTACTTCTGGCAGAAACTTATGTTGGAGATATTTTTATTGTCAATCTGAGTGCAGAGATATTTTTGATAAATTGAAGTTTTGGAAAAATATATTGCATGATGTTTTGGACAAAAATGGCTGGGTTGTCTTGACAAATGGTCTTGCTTGTATGTTGATTCTAGCTGGCTTTCATTCAAGATAGCTTATATCTATACTTTCAGAGTGTCATGTACTTCTTTGACCAGTTATGTTGGAACTTGATATAATTGTTGAGCTGGATGCACCATCTGAATTGGTCAGATTTGCCTTGTGTGGATTGGTGGAAAACATCATGTCTTACGCATGGGTTTGCCTGACAAGGAACTAGTGGTTGCATGTCTAGTGGGAATGTTGGATTATCACAAGGCAACCAGTCTGAAATTCCACTTCTCGCTTGGAGGGCAAGGTGAAACTTCTAAGGCGGGGAAATGTAGGACCTTTGGCTAGTGGGCTCCTATTTAATGGGCCCAGGCTAAGTTCATGAATCACGAGAGGTGTGTGACTAAGAAAGAGATAAGGGCTATTAGTTGTATATATTGGGAAGTGAGGTTTAGAAAGGGTTTAAGCAAGCTGACAGCGAGTATTTGTGAGGGAGAAACTCTAGCCTGTCAAAAGCGAACCAGTGATAGTGTGTGTAAGTTTTTATTCGTCTTATTTTCCTGAAACTTGTAGCTATTCTTCTAGCATAGACTTACACTCTGGATGGATTTTTATCTTTGCATCATATATTTGAATAGTGGGTTTCATCACTTTGAAAGTTGGATTGCCTCTGCATTTCCTTTTCAATTTGATTGTAGAGGACTGCTCAGCTTTGTTCTGGTAAACTAGTTTCTTTTTGGCTGACCTTCTTATTCTATTGCTACAAGATGTATTGTTTACATTCCTAAGCCTGATGTGTCATTTTTACTCTGTTCTGATTCTGTAGGGGTTACCACTTCATCCTCTGCAGCTCCAGCAACTTCTGTTTCTGGCACTACTGCCGGACAGACATCATCATCCCTTGTTGTGGCTTCCACTGGTGGGTACGTATACTTTATTTTGGATCGTGGGTGAAGCATTTTCCTTTGCACCTGTAGTAACTTGTTATTCTCTAGACTTTCCTGTTCAAAGTTCTCTTTCTTACGATAAAATATATTGGCAGTCAAAGGTGCTTTCCAACACTTGCATGCATTAAAACTATTTTTATTCTTTCTTTGTTTAATCTCGTAATTATTCAATCAGGTGCTGTCACTTTTGTACATCTTGTGTACTTAGTTCTGAGGGTGGGGTAGAACCCACTGCATAAAAGTCTATTAGCTTTAAAAATGTAATATGAAACTTAAAGTAGCTACATCCTTTTGACACTTTATTCATCTCGAGCTAGTTAAATCATTAAAGCAATTATGAAACCTTAATTATGTTTAATCCACTGCTAGAAACAGACTGTCAAATTCCAAAACGAGCAGCATGTTGGGTAGATATTTTGGAAAAAATATTCCTTTTTTTATACATAGACATTGAGATATGCAATATCTGTTATGTTCTTTTATCATTTTTTTAGTAATGATTGTCCTTTTTATTACTTTTACGTGCGCAAAAGATGTAGCTGATCGACAGAATTACTTTTTCTATTTCCTTTCCTGTTTATTTCATTTCATTGTGCATGGCAAAATTACTTTTTCTATTAGATATTTAAAGTAATATAATATAATTGATTAAATCTTTTATCAAATTAATTGAACTTCTGCATAGAATTGACTTAGTAATAGAACATAAGATAAACAGATTATTCATTACTGGTATTTTAGTTAAAAAAAATAGTCAAGATTCAACCTTAGATTCTTAATGTCTCTACTTGGCCTCAGCTTGAAGTTCAATTTTAACATTACTCCGTAAAATTGCCATAACATGTTCTTAATATCTACAAGACTTCATGCTGTATGTGTTTGATTTATTGATTTATCGCACGATAAATATTTTGAATGTGATTTTGACTATAAGTTTTCTACTTTTGCAATAGAACCACTTCAACTGTCAGCACTTCAGTAACTTCTGCACCAAAATTACCGTCAGAGATCACAGGAAAGACTGTGGAGGAGGTAATCTCTATGTTTCCTATGTTATACTTCTATTTCCTATGGATGAATCGTTTCTGTTGTGCTTAAAAGGAGAGGTGATTCCTTCTTATGCACTTTGCCCCATAAAATCAAGTTTTAGTTATTGTGTAAGACTGGATTGGGCATTTCCTTTCAAGGATGCTAAAGAAATATGCTGCTTCTACAAGTCTTGTTGACTACATGAGAAAGCTCTGTTAAAAAAGGGAAGATTTCATCAACTTCTTGTGGACAAATTTAACCACACATACTTAAAAACCATAGACCAAAACAATCACACGCATAACATATTTCTTCCTTCAGCAATTGCTAAATAGTGCTTGCTAATTTGGACAATTATAATGCGTTCTCTATCAACGTACATACATACAAATTCTTTCTAAATTCATGGACTTCTCTAGATCATCAAGGAATGGAATGCTGAGCTGCAAGAGCGTACTGGGAAATTCAGAAAACAGGCAAATGCAATAGCTGAATGGGATCGCAGGATTTTGCAGAACCGTGATGTTCTGTTAAGGCTTGAGGTTATTTCTTTGTTTACATGGTCTGTTTTTTGTTTTTTGTTTTTGTTTTTGATAAAATGTTTACATGGTCTTTCTGTAATGAACATAGAACAGCTTATAATTAACATTTATTTATTAGTCTCGTGTCTTACATTATAACTGATTTCTAATGTTTATAAATTTAGATTGAAGTAGCAAAAGTAGTTGAGACACAAGCAAACTTGGAACGTCAGCTGGAGTTGATTGAGACTCATCAACAAGAGGTATTTTAAGGACAATTTCTCTGAATAGTTGTTCGTAGATTATTTTCTTGCCCCCCCCCCTTTTAAATATGTTTTTGCCAACATGCTTGTGTTTTAGATGAAATTTGTTTCACATATTCTAACTTCTCTCTTCTTCTAGTATTCCCATAGTACATATTATCTATCTTGTTAGGAAAAAAATTACTTGACAACCGTTCTTTGAGAATACTGCTTTCCTTATCATATGATTATATCTTTTTGATAAATGCTATGATTATCTCCTTTCTTATATCTGGTCAAACTTGCATGTGAGATGGTGTATGAACTCAAATTCTAAATAATAATTATTAATAATATATAATTTCATGAACTTTTGATAGTCACTAGGCCACGCTGGTAAACAAGCATGCTTATAAATAGTGACAAGATTGCCGTACACCCAATATGGAGAATTTTAGTTATCTAAGAATCACCTATATGGGTTCATCTATTGGCCTTGGAAAGATAACATGTGGAATTTGAAATTTTTTTAAAATTTAAGGATGTGGGTGCAGTGTGTGTATGTGTAATTCAACGAACTAACACTTAAAAATGTAAATTGAGCCTTGAATTACGTAACATTGCCATTAATGTGTAAAATGAGTTACCATGAGAAATACAATTTCCATGCCAACTTACGAGTAAACGCACAAATGATAAAAGAATACGTCTAATCTGTTGAAGTACTAGTCTAAAGATTGAGTAGCGTAAATGGAATATTAATTTGCCCAATGGATTAATGAATCGAAGCAAACAGGCAATGCATCAGAGTTTCAAACTTCAAAGCAAACAAACGAAGCGTGCATTGAGGAATTGAAGCTTCGGAATGTCAATGTCCCTCTTTACTTCAGTCACCCGCAGATGTTTTTTATAAAATGAAGGATTTGTGATTTTGAAGCTACCTCTTCAGTGCCCTTTTACTGATAAAGATAAAAAGCATGGATCAAGTGAATGACTGTCTTCGTACGTTTTGATGCTCTTTTGGTGTGTTAAAAAGCGTTCTAAATGCACCCAACAAAAAGAAAAGGGTTTCTGAAAAGAAAAAAGAAAAGAAAAAGGTTCTGATGCCTACATATAGTCTGTAAGCATACCTGTATGGAGTATCCATCTGATGCAGGATGCCATTTTTAGTGCATCTCTGCTTCTGTGCCAATTTTTATTATCCAATATAGCCAGTCGGTGTGTGCTAACTGTGTTTCAAAGTGCGACATAGTACCTGTTTATTGTTTATTGTGCTAAATCAAGGGTATTGCCTGTGAAACACCTGTGCTTTGTTGGATTATACACGCCATCATGAGAATGAGCTTGTTATTGTTGCCCATTTATTTTAGGTTGACAAGGCTTTGCAAAGTATGGAGGAAGAAGCTGAGCGTATTTACAAGGATGAGCGTGGTTTGCTTCTTGACGATGAAGCTGCATCTACTAGAGATGCAATGTGGGTGTTTAAATTGTCAATTTTGTTTTCTTACCTTATTGACTGAATATTACAGGGTCCAACGTAATTTAACTTTTCGTGTTTATTTTCCAATCACACTAAAAAATCACTCCTTTTAAGGCTGGTCTGCTTGGGTCATGTATATTCTACCATGCCTTATTATTTTGCTTCTTTCGTGTGTGGTACTAAACAATTGATCTAAATATTACTAATTAATCCTGCAGGCTTTGTACTTTTATTGTGCTGCCTAGTTACCTTAAATCGGTCCTAGGTGGTGTGTTCTTGATGAGTCAATACTTGAGGCGATGGTAGTACTTACATAGGTGTTATCTGAATTGCAGAGCTGAGTTAGTTCATGATTAAATTTGTATGATAGTTCTTGTGACAACGGGAAAATTGTTCTAGGGATTGCATCAAATTTATTTGAGTTCAGAAATTTTTAAAGGTTTTTGGACAAACAACCTTTGCGCTGTTCTTTGATAATTGGGGGGATTTGTGTTTCAGCTTCAAGGGTTAGTGTAAGTGAAGCCATATTTTCCTTGCAAATCATCGGGTTGGTGATCTTATTTTCTTCCCTCGTTTGTCTGTGTCACCTGGTGCATTGAATCCTCTTGTGGCTTTTTTTAATTTGTAGTTTTGTCTTGCAGGTATGACCAAGCTGAATTCATAGAGAGGGAATTGGAGCAGATGACAGAGCAAATAAAGTCAATTATTCATTCCCTTAATGCAAGCCAGGTAAATATTGTAATTGATGCTCTTTTGTTATAACTTTAAGACACGATGCTTACAAGAATATTTTGTTAGGGTGGAGAACTTGATGCTCTTGATGGGATGAATCCGTTAGATGCAGTCGTACGAATCCTAAACAATCAACTAACTTCACTCATGTGGATTGATGAAAAGGTTTGTACTTTTTGTTGTATATTTTTTTAATTTTAAATATAATTTGGCATTGTTTGCTTTATGTGCATGCCAAATCAACAATGTTGCATTTGAACTCTACTCCATTTACATGCATGCATGCATGACTGCTCGGTTTTGTTACTTTGAATCAGTACCTAAGTCTAATGTTTCCTTTCTCACATGCGAGTCACGAAGAATTTGGATTTGAAAGCAGCAGAGTAATTGGGTCTCTGCTTCACTGTTGTTAGGTTTTGTAGCTAGTACATATAGCCATAGGTTAGGTTACAATCATTAAAAATAAAAGTAGATGAGAATATGATATTATCCTTGAATATTCTAAGATAATAACATCCCTAAAAATCTGAAGCAGATAACAAAATCATATTATACATTTATTTAGGGTTTCTATTATGAAACTAATGGGCCATAGCCCATTAGATGCCGTCTTCCAACACTCTCCCTCTAGGTGGTGAATAGATAGATGTCCATCATTCCCAGCTTGCCTGTTTAATTCTCAAACTTAGGCTTGACTATTACTTGTTGAGTATATCTGCAATTTGCATCCTTCTTGGTGCATACTTCACTTCTCAACTAGTTTGCTGTCAATTTTTTCTTTAATGAAATGACGATTTATTTCAACATGTTTGGTCCTGTCATGGTGAATGGCACAACACCTTCATTGACGCCTCATGATCAATGTTCAACTCTTCAATTGCCCTTTCAAGTTATAACCCTTCACATATTTCGTGAGCAAGTTCACAGGGGTCAGCTTCTGTACTACTCCTTGAAAACCATTCTGTTTTTTACTTATCCATGTGGCCAGGTTACCCCACACAAATGCACAGTAGCCTTTTGTGGACCTTCTATCAGTTACTAATCTAACCCTATCTGCATCAGAGCATGCTTCAACTCCTCTGTTCCTTTAGGCCTTTCCCAGGTGAAGATTTCAGGCACTGTAGGATCAACTGTTGCCATATGATCTTTGTTAGGTTGACCGGAGAATTGACTTACCACACATTGGGTTAGCTGTCTGGTCTAGTATGGGATAGATAGATCAACTTCCCAATTAGTCACTGATATCGTTTTTTATTGACAAGTGGAACCCTTCTTGAAAGCCTGGCTTGAGAGTGAGTTCCGTCTGCTGGTTTACATCCTAGCATACCAGTTCATTGTAGGAGGACAAGAGTATATTTTTGTTGTGATATTGAGATACTATTCTTGGAACCTACCACTTCCATGCCAAGAAAATACCTCAACGTAGCAAGGTCTTTATCTCAAATTATGAGGCTAGTAGTGCCTTCTGTTGCTCAATTTTACTGAGATTATTATCTGTAATAATAATATCTACATGATGATGAATATAGTTTTCCTTCCACCACTCAGCTTGGTAAACAGTGTGTGATCAGATTGACACTGTATATAGTCATGCTTATGCATGACCTTCGTAAAGCATTCAAACCATGCCCTAGGAGACTGCTTTAGACCATTGTGAAGCTTGCAAACATTGTTCTTTTTCTTATTTTTGAAGCTAGGTGGTATCTCCATGTAGACTGATCATTAATCCTTTCAAGTGATTTTGCATAAAAAGAGTGATCATTAATTCCTTTCTTCCAATTTTACCTTTCAATAGTATATGTAACAATTACATGTGTGAGAGAGAATATTTTTAAAAGGAATTTGGGATTCTCAGGGAAGTGCTAACATCATATGGGAGGATATGGCTAAAAAAATACGGGAGGTTGCAAAAGTAGTTTTGGAAGAATCGAAAGGTTCTGGTCCGAGAGATAAGGAGTCTTGGCGGTGGAATAATAGTGTACAGGACAAAATCAAGTATAAGAAGAACTGTTTTAAAGCCATACATTTGTGTAACAATGAGGAAAATTGGGAGAGGTACCGTATGGCTAAGAAGGAAACTAAGAGAGCTGTGGGTGAAGCTCGTTCTAAAGCTTTTGAAGAATTTTATAAAAATCTTGAGAGGAAGGAAGGAGAGCAAAATATTTATAAGATTGCCAAGAGTAGGGAAAGAAAATCAAGAGATCTAGAACAGCTAAGGTGTATTAAGGATGAAGAGGGAAGAATTTTAGTTACAGATGATGAAATTAAAAATAGATGGGAGATTTATTTTTCTAAACTTTTCAATGATGGAGAGGATTCATCTAGTAACTTGGAGGATTTAGTAACTGGTGAAGGAGAACAAAATTTGTCATTCTATCGAAAAATACGTGATAAGGAGGTAAAGGAAGCTCTTAAGAAAATGGCAAATGGTAGAGCCAACGGACCTGATTGTATATCTATTGAAGCATGGAAATGTTTAGGTGAAGAAGGGGTGAGATGGTTAACTAAGTTATTTAATGTGATTTTACGGTCCAAGAAAATGCCTGATGAGTGGAGGAGAAGTACATTAATTCTTATTTATAAAAATAAAGGAGATATTCAGAATTGTACTAACTATAGAGGGATTAAACTCATGAGCCACACAATGAAATTGTGGGAGAAAGTAATTGAGCACAGGTTGAGATTGGAGACAAGTATTTTTGAGAATCAATTTGGTTTTTACCAGGTAGATCAACTACAGAGGCGATTTATCTACTAAGGGGATTAATGGAAAAGTATCGTTGTAAAGATAAAGATCTACACATGGTTTTTATTGATTTGGAAAAAGCTTATGACCATATACCAAAAAAAGTGCTTTGGAAAGCGTTGGAAAAAAAGGGAGTACGGATTGCTTATATTAAAGCCATACAAGATATGTATGAGGGGGTAAAAACTAGTATAAGAACGCCTAGTGGTCAAACAAAGGATTTTCCTATAAAGATTGGACTACATCAGGGATCATCTCTGAGTCCTTATTTGTTCAACTTGATTTTAAATGTTTTGACGGAACATATTCAAGAGGAAATCCCGAAATGTATGCTCTTCGCGGATGATATAGTTCTTATAGCAGAGACAAGAGAAGAGGTTAATTGCAAACTTGAGTTATGGAGGAGGACATTAGAGTCGAAAGGTTTTCGTCTGAGTAGAAGTAAGACGGAATATTTATATTGTAAATTTGGTAAAGGACTATTCGAAAATAATTTGGAAGTGAAATTGGGAGATCAAATTGTACCTCAAGTGGAAAAGTTTAGATATTTGGGAGCCATTATTCAAAATGATGGCGAAATCAGTGAAGATATTTCACATAGAATTCAAGCTGGGTGGTTTAATTGGAGAAAAGCTAAAGGAGTTATTTGTGACCGTAAGGTGCCTAATAAACTTAAAGGAAAGTTTTATCGTACTGCTATCAGACCGGCAATGTTATATAGTAATGAATGCTGGGCTCTAACGGGACAGCAAGAGCATAAAGTTGCAGTAGCAGAGATGAGAATGTTACGATGGATGTTCAGACATACACGTAAAGATAAAATTCGAAATGAGCACATACGCGAAAAAGTGAGGGTGGCACCTATTGAGGAAAAAATGGTAGAAAATCGGTTGAGATGGTTTGGGCATGTACAAAGAAGACCAAGGGAGGCACCAGTGAGAAGAGTGGAACATATAACTTTGAGTCCGATTAAGAGAGGTAGAGGAAGGCCTAAGAGAACACTCTTGGAAGTTGTTGAACGTGATCTCTTAATTAATAATATTTCTAAAAACTTGATAAATGATAGAGCAAAATGGCGTCTTGCAATCCATGTAGCCGACCCCACCTAGTGGGATAAAGGCTTGTTGTTGTTGTTGTTGTTGTATGTTTTAATGAGGGTAAATTTGAATTTTTTTTAAACAACAATAATTTAACTATCCCCCCTTAATTTTAGTGGGATAGTTAGAAGTGACTTGAGATGGGAGGGAGTATTTAAAAATTACAAGAATACAATGTTAAGAATTTCAAGAAACCCTCTGGAAACAGAAAGAAATGAAGAAAATGAAAAAAAAAAAAAAAGCAAAGCAACAAATGTAAAGTGAAAAAGAAAGTGCATCTCTTAAGAGCAAATCCCGTCAGTTCCTTTGCATGGGGCAAAGTGCCAAGTTTTTACGGTTGGCCATTTGTTGTTTACACTATTAAAATCTTTATCTGTACGTGGGTTATAACTTTGGCTGTTATTCAAAATGCTTTGACTTTTATATTATTTGGAAAAGAGCTTCATCTTTGAATTGCTTATTTAGTTCAAATCTGTTCTTTGCTTTCTACTGCAATGGCTAAATTTCATCAATATTTTTCAGGCTGAAGAATTTTCTTCTCGCATCCAGAGGCTTGGCAATCAAGGTTCTGTTTCAGATCGAGAGCTGACGGGTCCAAGATTCTGGATGTCCTGATCTCTAGGATTTGTGACATTCTACAACCTGATTAAAACTGTAGATGCCCGTCATGATTCTTGAATATTGTACATGCTGATCGCAGGCCATAGTTTTTCTGAACTTTTGATGTTCTTGTTTTCCCCCCTCCCCCAATGAAATGAACCATCCTTCTGACAAAAATGATTTTGATTCTTAATCAGCCATTTGACATTTTGAATTGTACCTTTAGACTTGGTTTCTTTGAAGATAGCAGAATGGCTGTTTCCAGTTTCACTTTAGTCATGTTTCCAGTTTATCACTACCGGAAGATGCTTCTGGTCTGTCTTAGGGTTTGTTTGGTTTAATGGAAGGGAAGAGTATTCGGAATGTTTTTATTGTCAATCTTGTTTGGTTTTTACATCATAAAATTTCACAATATATATATATATATATATAAATAAATGATTTTTTTTATGAAAAAGGTTTAAACAAACGGCCCTTTAAATGTGATAAAGGGAAAATTTTATATTTATTTTTTTTAATGGTGTATGTGACAATTTAATGTTAAACCGTTTTATTTAATCTAATAAGATGATTAGCTCAATTTTTGAAACACTCATTGTGACATAATAGTATCTCTTATGGGAGAAAAAAATTAAATGCACTTTTTGAAAATCCTGTCGTGATATTTTAACATGGTAGAAAGATAAAGAATTATTATTTTAAAGTATTATCATGGTTGAAAAGAGTTTATCATAAAAATTTAGAGTCAAACAAGTTTAATAAAACATTATCATAGCAGAAAGGAATTTTTTTTAGATGTTAAATGCATTTTTCATAACGAATACCATGGGAGCAAAGGAATTTATTATAGTAGAAGAGTTCAAATAAATAAAGCTTAGCATGGTAACAAAAATTTACTAAAACAAAATAGCGTACCAATTTGGATCTCATAGATAATATAGTTTCCAAATCCAAAATAATGACATAAAATTTCAAATAAGTTTGAAGTATAGTAACTAAATTATCTAATTTAAGTTTACAAAGGGTAAAAACGTTCAAGGGACTTTTTGAAAACTGAAACACAATAAATGGACATTTATGAAAAAGTTAAGTCATCCATCGCAATTGATGTGTTGTGAGCAGCGGTGATACATGAGAGACGCAAGCTGTGATCAATACATTGTTTGTTGTGGCCAACATTGGGTCATGCATTGCAGTTGAATGTGTATGCGTTGTGGCAGATACCTTTTGTCAATGAATTTGATAGAATGAATAATAATAACAACAAACTTTAAAAATGCACAACTTTCACTATACATCTTCAAATTAAGTGATTCGAGTATTCATACAAAGTTTATCACAGAATCTAGTTAATGACTTTGGTTTAATATAAAAATATTTCTATATGAGAATTTTATCCCAAAAAATCCATCAAGGGTCAAAAACACACTTTTCCCAAACATTCACTTACCAAAACCACAACCAAAGCCAAAGCCCATGTATTAACCACTTGACCATATCACGTATGCATAAAATAACTATGAAATATCATATTTATCATATACACAAATTTATTAGTCGGATTATAGCCACTTAGCACAAATATAATGAGAAACTTAACATACATTTGCCATAATCAATATTATCTCCCAAACATGCTCCAAATACTTAGATAACATCCAAACAAGACCATGAGTGTCAAAAACTTACCCATGGCTGTCATTTGCAATTTGAATCCAAAATAGTCACAAATGCTCCATCTTATAAAATATGCTCCTACATTAGCATGAATATACATTGACAATAAATGAGACCTAACAAAACAAAGTGGTGTCACATACACCACAACTACACCTCATGTTCTTTTCTAGTAGGACTTGGTCCTATAAAAATATTAACCATGAGGAATGAGATACAAAAATTTCAATAACCAATACTAATATGTTGTGATGTATGTTATGCAACTAATCATGCAATTGTTAAGTGGGTATACAAAACATGTTTTCAAACAATTTAGATGCAAGTAAACCAAACAAATGATGCATAATTACAAATTATATCCTCCTTACTCCATGTATCGATGTCCATACTCAATGCTTTACTACTTGGCCAAGATAAGTTAGCCTAAACTACTTGCCAATCATTACATCCAAATGAGGGTGTACCATGCGGCATTAGTTTAAATCTCAATATTAACCACCCTTCTAACAAAACTTGTGCGCATCATGCATATATAATTTCCAAACAAGTGCAATTGCTAATAATTAGACATACTTTCATCATAATTATATTTAGATGCCGAGCACAATCATATACAGTTTTTAATCCCACTAGTAATATATTTTACCCAAACAATAATTACACATTTTTCCAAAACGCACTTTCCAAACAACAATTATTTCCAACAAATTACACACAACCAAACACACAGCATACATTACAACATAAAAGTAGAGGTTTCCTTGATGCCTTAGCAAACAACTTCCCCAAAACACAGTTTACCACCCCTAACAACTTTAATACCATAATCTATATATTATAAAATGCTAAATATAATTAAGCACTAATAACACCCTCATCCTAGAGTTAGGCTAATTAATCTTATAATCCTAATACATTCCCATAGACTTTAATCATCAAACTTAGTCATTCTCATCCTCATTACACATCTGAAACATAAATTTAGCATTTAATCACTCTAATCATCATTAGTCATTCTCCTACAAATTTAGGGTTTTGGATTCAAACACTCCATTATAATAAACATCATCAAAACAATTTAATTACACCTATTTAACTTCAAACAACCCATAAAATTTGAACCCCGTGACTTGAGTTGCTTCAGACTCAAACCCTAACCTTAATCACCACTTAAACTTGCTTAACGAGGAGATTAGAGGGTACTAGATGGATTAAAAGTGTTGCCTTGAGTAATTATGAGTTAGAATCCACACCCTAGTTATGGAAAATTCAAAACCTAGCAGAGTCAAAGAAAATTGCTCAGAACTCTCCAAAAACCTTCTCTCCTGTGTTTGTTTTAGGAACAAACTTTTACATCTGATTCTTGGTCATTCACCATGACAAAATGTGACAAACACCTCTTTTTTCAGGGCTAACAGTACAATTATATGATTCTCACTTAAACCCAATATTTTGAACCTAGATCCAGCCTAAAACCTAAGTCAGACTCTAAATAGCCCTCATACAAGATCCTAGGCCCAATTAATCACAATTAAGTGCTTAAACAATTAATTAACTTCAATAAACCTCATTCATGCATGATTTATCAATTAATACCTTAAATTCACAAAAAAATCTAAATTAAATCCTTAATACACATATGTCCTTAATTAAGTTTTCTAACTCAATTAAATACTTAAATACTCTTATTTTCTCAATTAATTTCTAACTAAAAAGACTGTGATGTTATAGTATACACATTTCTTTTTTGGTTCTTGAAATATCCCCACGTTTGAATGCGATAAGGCTAATCTCTTGAGAAATTTGAGTGTCATTTAAAAGGTTATCCTTTCCCTTTAAATGGCATTCATATTTGTTAATGAAGGCATTTACCTCAATACAATTAGATCACAATCTAATAGTTAATATCCCCTAATTGAGGGGATCCAAATATGCTACAATTATATATATAAATTAATATTTAAAATTATTTTTTCAAAAATATTTTTTTCCCAATTAAGGATCCAATGATATTATATAAGTAATAATCCCATAACAAATTTATAAATTATCAATGATCATTAGAGCTGTCAATTATGGTCGAGCTCGTCGGCCTAGCCTTTTAATAAGCCCAAAAAAGTCTAGGGCTAGGTTGCTTATTTAGGATATAAAATGATAAATTGGGTTTAAAAGTAGGAGTGTTCAGTCTGGACCCGTCCCGATTGGCCCGATATCATCCCGATCATATGAAACGGGTCTTGTCCGACCCAAAAATAATCGGGATGAGACTTTACGGGACGGGATAGGAAAGGGGTTCGGGACGGGACAGGACACGGGATTACCATTGAGACGTCCTGTCCCGTTCCGAATATTTATATATATTATTTTTTATTTTAAATATATTAATTATATTAATATAATTTATACTTATATTAATTATATCAATTATAATTTTAATACTTACAATTCTTATTTAAAACTAAAGTTTTTTTATATTGATAATTTTAATGGCATGGAGTAAACATGACGATATCTTTCTTTATAATATATTAATATAATTTATTCTTATATCTATCTATTTAATAACTTTTATTTATAACATATTTCTTGCTTATTTTTAGAAGAGTAATTAGCTTAGTACATCTTCACTAAAGTAGAAGAACAATGATTTGATGTTGTGTTTGACTTACCTGTTGTTGCTAATCTTATAACATAAAGATCACTTGTATTTGTTATTATAATATGTAGTTATGATTAATATAATTCAATAATTGATTTTAAATTATTGTTATTTATGTGCTTGTGTTGTTTTAATTTTAAACTTAATAAATTATATGATTTAAAATTTTAATGAACGTTATTATTCAGATCTTTTTTTGATATTATTTCATTTATCGGGACGGCGGGACGTCTCGATCTTGTCCTGGTCCCGTCCCGACTCTTAACGGGACGGGACGACTTTCGGGACGGGACGGGACACGGGACCAACATTCAATTTCAATCTTTTTTTCAGGACAGGACACAGGACGGAGGTGTCCCGATCCTGTCCCGTCCCATGAACACCCTTATTTAAAAGGATAGCCCTTTTAAGGCCCTTTTAAGCCTTCTTACTTTTTTTAAAAAAATTAATATATAAAAAAGAAGTAAAAAAGTGAAAACCCTAGCTTGCCTCCCTTAATCCTTCTTAGAGCTCTCATTCACGATCATTTCACACAGGACGTCAACCTTGTGAGGCTGTGAGTCTCTGAATTGCAAGTGGTTGTGATAATGCGACTGCAACCTTGCTCCGTGAATCATCCTTTCCTTCCTTTACATCTCGCTTCGTCTAGCAACTAGCTTTAGCCATAGCCCACAGCGGCAACCCTCCTTTCCTCTACGATCTGTCCCTCATCCCTGCTCAAAGCTCGAGTCATTTGCTCCATCCCTAATTCATAGCAGACTCGCAGTCTCGCTTGATCTGTCACTCATTGTCTCTTGTCTATTGCTCATCTTGTGCTCCCTGTTTTCTTTCATTGATAAGTGACTATAATTGCAATAAGAAATTGAAAAATTGAAAAAAAAAAAAGCCTGCGGCCCTGAGGGCTAAGGTTGGGCCAACTAAAATGGTACCTTAAAGTAAAATCGAGCTTAATAGGGTTGGTTCGTTTAGGCCCTAGCCCTTCAAGGGCCTATCCCATTGACAACTCTAATAATCATGATATGGGATTGTTATTAGGAGCGGTCAACCTTATATTTGTCTCAACCGATCCAGTTTTATCTTGATCATATAAGGATAGGTCTTTCCCAACCTCAAAAAAAGTAAGATGGGACAAAGAGGCTCAAGATGGCATGGGACATGGCATTGCCCTCGACACATCTCCCATCCCATCCCATATCCCCTCTCCCTCTCCCTCTCCCTCTCCCTCTCTTAGTATTTTCTTTTAAAATAAGCACTAATTATATTCATATAATTTATTTTTATATTAATTATAATTTTAATATTTGCAATCCTTATTCAATACTAAAAGTTTTTGATAGTGATAGTTTTAATAATACAAAGCCTATAGTACAAGGTAAAATCTTAATTTTTTTACAATATATTAATTATATTATTAGTATAATTTATTCTTATATTTATTCAATAATTTTTCTTTATATATAGTATTTCTTACTTTATTTTTGAAAAAGTCAATAACTTTAAATATCTCAACTAACAAAGAATAATGACTTGATGTTATACTTAATTTGTTTGTTACTATTACTCATGTAGTTTGGAGGTCACTTATAATTACTGTCATAATGTGTTATATTTTATATATACTTGACTTTAAGTTATAAATTTGTATTTGTGATTGATGTAACTCGATAATTAACCTTAATTCATTGTGATTTATGTGCTCCTGTTGTTTTAGTTTTAAGCTTAGCAAATTATGTAATTTGATATTTTAATAAATATTATTATCTAGATCTCTTTTTCACATTATCACTTTATCAAGACATCTCGATCACATTCCAATGCCTAATGAGATGGGACAACTTTTTAGATAGGATAACTTTTGGTATGGAGTAGGATATGGGACAAAATTCAATCGTAATAATTTGTCAAGATAGGACATGGGACATAGATTTAATCGTGTTCCATGAACACCCTTAACTGTTACAATTAAATTTGATCTGTTCGTGCGACATATTTAAAAAAATTGATGATTTTTTTAAACTTAAAAATAATTAGAATTTAAAAGAAAAGTAATTTTTTTATTATTTTAAAAACTACTTTAAACAACTTTTGAAGATAATCTAGTGCAGTAAATAAAAAATATATAACAAAAATGTAAAAATACACGAAAATATATAAAATTTTAAAATAACTAAATAAGGAATATTTTTTTATAAATAAAGATATATGAAAATATCATAAAATCTTAACATAATTAAACAATAGTATTTTGTTATTGTAACTAAATGTAAAATAATATTTTCATTTTTTATAAAATCTCTAAAAACTTCTTTTCATAAAATATTTAAATTATCTAAGTATCACTTATTTTTTAATCTTGACGGAATAGGCCCTAAATTATAATTTGATGGTTAATAGCTTAATTGCAACAAAACCCTGCAAATTTAACATTTGATTGCTTAAAAAATATCTATTATATTATATATATATATATATATAAGAATGACCAGGCTGGATGTGATTTTTGCAATTTTATCCTTTGCGTTCTCTCTGTGCTCCAGAATATGTACAACATATTCCATCGTATTTTATGATTTTTCAAAAAAAAAAAATTTCAGATTTTATGATTTTAAAAAATGTACAATGCATTTCATATACAACAAAATTCTACTTTTCTACCCAATACGTGTGCTTGTATCAAAAGAAAGCAGAAGAGAAACTGAAACTATCAAAATAAAATTATATAATACATTGGCCATGAATATGGTAATGCCGTTATTACAAAACCTTATTTGTACAAGAAATGTGCAATCAAGACATTGTTGCACAATAGTACACACCAATCAACATTACTTTTTCTACAACAATAATCACTCACAACATATTTGTAACCACATTGGGAAAGAATGTTGCTGTTGCTAAAACATGTTTTGACATCCTAAAACGTGATGTTTACATGCTTTCTGTATGGTTACATGAAAGAGAAGGAATGAAATGGATCAAATAAACAAGAATAAAAATAACTAAATTACCCTATCCCTCATAGTAAACATGATAAAATCCAATACTACACAATACAAATGTTTGAATCACCAGTCTTTACAAGCTTCATGAACACGGTTGACTTATCTCCCACTTACATCTTGATCATTCTATTTTTTTTATTTCTTTAATTCATTCTACTCCATTCCTTTACAACAACCAAATGGGTTTTTAAAACTATTCAGACATTACAACTTTTGGAATCTGGCCAAAATTACTATCAAAAGGATTACTACACAGAGAAGCATAGATGACCTAACTTTTCTCTCCAGCTCTTGGTCTTTCAATGCAGCTTTTTCTATCTTATGAGATTGAAATAAAAGATTCACAAGTGACTGAAAATTTTCTATCAGTTCCATAATTTTTCCCTTTATGATCTCCAATATCCAACTTAACATGGCAATGCTGACTTCTGGTTTGTCAGAAATCTGGGGCTTTCTACATTCAGCTAAATGAAGTAAATAATGCAATGTGAAAAATAAGTCAAGTTAGTGAAAGTATAATACTAGCAAGGATGTCAAATAAGAAAGAGCATTATGGAGTCATTAAAAGATGGTGGCATCACAAGAATAAAGCCCATAGATGAAACAAATCAAGATGAGATACACAAGCATGTTAGATGCAGGTTTCACTGAAAACTGTTAGTAAGATGCTAATACTTTTATTCACAACCAGATGAAGGATCTTAGCATTGGCAAGACTTTGATGGATAAGCAGCACTATTCATGGTTTATGAATGATATGGTTCGTTATAGATTTTATATTTTATAGGGATAATGAAACTTTCGATTCCTCAAGTTTGTTTCAATTATCAATTTGGCCCCTTGAAATATACTTTTTATCAATCAAGTCCCTTCATGGTTTGAAATGGATGTAGTGGGGGTTACAAGAATGGGTGTAAATGCAAGATGCTTGTGACCAAGGTAACCAATTCTTTAACGTTTAGGCTTAAAGCAGACAATCCAAAACACATGTGATGGAATTTTAGGGACTTGATTGGTATCAAATTAAACTTCAAGGACAAAATCCCTGTAACTAATCCTATCTAGTGAGATAAGATTTGTCGTTTTGCTGCTATGGGTTGAAGAAATGCATGAACAATGTATATAGCCCAAGTAAATGCCACATTTTACAAATTTCTACATCTTACAAAATACATATATGGATGGATAAATAGAAAATACACCTGGATTTGGTAAGCTTTCGAGCTTTTGATTCACCACGTTCATGACAGCATTCCAAACTGTTTTATCTGATGACAGTGAAGTCACTAGTCTCTACATGCAAGTCATAGTTTTAAAGAATGCTTAAATTAAGGAGGACGTTGAAGAAACACAGCAAAAGTCAGATGGATTTTAGAGACACAGGAGAGAACTAGACTTACAAGTGGTAAATAAATCTGAGAACAAGATCAACAAATCTAACAAGAACAATCACTAGTAAAAGCAATATGACATTCAAGACAAAGAAAACAAACTAGAGGTAAAGTGGTTATCATCAAATGGAGAACATCGACGGGCAGTTAGAGAATGCTGCAGAATTTGTAAGGATTTTATATGTCATAGAAGAGTCCTCTACGCTTGTCAGTGATGATGATAAACATTGTAAGAATACTATTAATTTCAGAACTTGAATTACTTTTCACCCAAAAGTCATGAATTGTCCTGAACTGATTTTAGAACAAAAAAGAATGTTCTCTATCAAAATTTAAATATGTACCTTAATAGAAGGATCTGATTGCAGCAACAGGTAAGCATCATATAGTTTGTTATATCCCTGAGAAAGCAATATGCTCGAATCATAAGCACAAGAGTTCTGTTGCAATGCCCCTGATGTTACTGCTTGTAGAAAACTGATTGAAAAAGGAATATTAGAGTCTAGAATAGTAGAAAACCATCAATTCTGATGTCATCTGATGATGATTATGAAATAGCTTTTGCAAATAGAGATCAATTATTGCTCAGAAAATCCTCACTAATGACTTCATCATATCTTGAATAAAAAAAAGAAGATAAGAATTCCTTCTAGTTAATAGTAACAAGAAACTGAAATTGAGCTCCAAATAAAATACTGATTGATTTACTGAGTATTAAAGTATAACAAAGATAAAGCCTTCTAGCAAAACATTTCAGGAATGAGTTTACATTCGCAGCTCCAAAAATTAGGTGCAAGATATCTTATATAGTTATGTTGATATTGACGTAATTATTTAGAGAAAAAAATAATAATAACTAATTTAAGAAATCCATGTGTTAGGAATGGAGGGTGACCGTCCGGGAACAGGGGAGAGGACAAACAGCCAAAAGCAACGAAAAGACACCATTTCTTAACTCAACATCAAGGTTTTATTTGTTATTAAGCTTGACTTTATTCAATGTAACACTTTCCCTCAGGTGACCAGTCCAATTTCCGGGTTTCAAATAGTGTGGTGCACATGAGTAAAATAGGTAAAGGGAAGCAGAAGCAAGTAATTCACACGTCTCCAAAATAAAATCCTCACCTCTGAAGAGCAATAAGCGCGTCTTCAACTTCCATTTGAGACGGAACCGCATCAAAAACATAATTATGGAGACACCCACGGGATCTTTTTTCTTCCATAACATGAACAACTTCTAGTTTTCTGCCAATTTCACTGTGACAGAAGCAACAACACCCAGAGCCACCGTGGCTAAAGGGTACGCCATTATCAGTTGAAACAGGAAGCTTACTATTGGAAGAAGGAGGAGGAGGAGGAGGAGAAGGTGATACCACAACAGGGTAGCTTCTAGGCTGAGGCACAGAAGAGCCTACATGGATGGTTCCTCCTCCCATTGCGTTCTCAAAAATTTTCAGCAATCAGAGACTATTGTACTGTGTTGCGTTATCAGATCAACGTTATCTCCGATTGCTACATGATGCATATGGTAATTCAACAATGGGCCTATAGCTGGGCATTCTATTCTTTAACATAAATATAAGCCCATGTTTATAAAACAACATAGGCCCATTGGGTTAATTTGGTTTTCAAAATCACTTGAAGTGAGAACTCGAACCTCCTGAGCCGCCAATTCGCTCAGAACTGGAAGAGATTTCGTTGAAGTCCCAAGAACTATCCAAGGATCGCAAATAATTGGGGCATTAAAATAATATTCCCTTCCTCATAAATCTTCTGTTGTTCATATAATGGGGGAATCATACTAATCCTCCACGTCAAACAAATTTGCATTTACATCTTGAATTGATTTTACAGGCCCAAAGATCTTATATGTAAATATGCTTTTATGATAAAATGACTCCTTTGCTCTAAGTTTGAAAAAAATATCATGATACATGACCTATGTGTAATGAAATGATATTGCATTATTAATACAAAGACTCTATGTTATATGTGGACATTCTGTTATTCATACACTTTAAATACTTTTACATTTTAGAAAAGGGACAAATGAGTCTTTTCACTTAAAAAAAACATGTTTGTATATAAAGCTTTTGGGCTTGCATAATAATTTAAAATGTATTGGGTGTCTTAGATGTGAATTTCTTTAAGCGTTTAGATGTGATTACCCCTTATATAAATTCCAAGCTAAACTATTCACAGTCCCCATGGTAACATTGCATTTTTTTTTTAAAATTTTTTTTATGCGTTCGAGATGACTTGGTTGATGATTCCAGCCCCTCATGCTCTTCACAGGGACATGTTCCATCTTGAATTATGTTTCTGCAGACGACCAGGAGTACAATATGAGTTATACCAAATATGTATACAAACACATTTACAGGGGTGTAGATATCTTGAATTATGTTTCTGCAGACGACCAGGAGTACAATATGAGTTATACCAAATATGTATACAAACACATTTACAGGGGTGTAGATAGGGGTGTGGACCAGGAGGCTACAACTCTCCTAACTTTTTAATTTTTCTTAATATAATATAGTAATTATATATTATTGGCTCTCGAGTTAGTATGTTATAAAAACATTAAGATATTAGATGAAATTCTCAATTTAATTTTATATATATTCATTTACACATGTCGAGTACAAGATTTTAGTAACTTGAAGATATGGTTGTTTAAGGATTTCTTAATTATTTTCAATAAGATAATGCTATACATGCTCTTAAAACTTTGATGTTATTTGATTTTACTTTCATTTTATATTTAATGAAAGAAATTATAAGAATTTTTAGTAACAAAACTTTGTAACAAAAATCTTAATATGTTGAATGCTATGTGCTTGACACCCACTATAAAATCACTTATTTAAAAGTTAAGAGGTTGTAATTAAGATGTTCTTGTAGAAATTTTTTTTTTGTAACAACCAAGTTATTGAAATTTATGGTTTGAATGCTTGTTACTTTGATATAATTTGATCTCATTACCATAAAGATTTTGTAACTATTGAGTATCATTGCCGTGTTAATATATTTATTTTTTATGATTATTAATTGAAAGAATTAAATAGTAATTTCGGTAATCTGATAAGAGAGAGCTTTGTAGATTGAACATAACTTTGGATTCTATGGATGCATTTAAATCATTCAATATCTATTGAAAAGATGAAATTTTCACCAATTTAATGATAGTTTATATTGATAAGAAAATTGTTAAAAAATTTATCATAGACATGATAATTAATAATTTTTATGCCTTGAAAAATCGACGAGCAAAACTTAAAAAATATAGATATACATTTATTTTTGTTATATATTTATAAAATAGAATATGAATATATACATGTTAAAATATTTATATTATGTCAGTAGTGATATATAAAGATTAAACTTTTTTTTTCAATTATTACATATACTTTATTATGTTGACCCCTCATAAAAAGTTTTTTTCCTGGTAAAGAACTAATCACTGGATTGTCTCTGTGGAACAAGTTGCAACCACTATAAAGTATTAGTAGGACCATTGTATTAGTATATAAGGAATAACGATGAAGCTATTCTTTTGAGTAAACTTAAGGTAATCACTGTCGGTAGCAATGATTAATTTCCCTCGCTATGGGGTTTTTGGCAAAGGGGCAAACGATTGGTCATGGAGTGCTCTTCATTCGCATAAGTGAGAAATCGAACCCCCACCACATGCTTAAGAGACAAAGTGAGATAGCCACTCTGCTACACTCACATGGTTATGATGAAGCTATTTGAATGACTAGTAATGAGATTGACGATTGTGATAGTTTTATTACTTATCTATCTTGGGTTCTTATTTGAGGTCCAAAAAGGAGGGACTTGGAAAAGTTAGCTGATTAGCTGATGGGGTATAATTTATATTTAAAATAAATATTAATATTTTTTAAAAATAATTTCAAATATCTATTAAATTATAATAAGGGTATAATTTAATAGACTTAAATACTAAAAAAATGTATATAACATAAAATTATAATAAGATAATAAAACTCTCTTTATATAAACAACATTTTCCATTTACAAGAATCATAATTTTTTTGCATGTTCATTAAATGTAATCTATATAACTCTTTTATATGGTAGATAATTTTTTTGTGAAATTTTTTTATAAACAATTTTCTTAAATTATTAATTTTTTCATTCTAAAAGTAGTTTATTTAACGTTCTAGTACATAGATAAAATTTTAGGTTGTAAATTTATTAATAGAATAAGTAAAATTTTTTGAAATAATGCGAACAATTGAATTCTTAGAATATAAAATAAATATTTGTAATTCATAATCTACTTTAAATCTTGTCCTCTAACAATTTAATGCACATTATTTATAATAGGTTTATTTGGTCATTTTGCAATATAATTGTGACTAAAGGTATCCGTTAATCTATTATTGAGTCATCAATTTTGTTATCAGTTGCCACCAACGTCATCACATGCTTTTTGCATGTTAAATGAAATAAGAGGGACTATAATGTAGAGGGAGTATATACTAAAAACCTGATTAGTCATTGAAGTAGTCAAGGGTTATTGAGTCAAAATTATAATCAAATCATGATCAATCTATTATAAAAATTATTTTATTAAACCAATCAAGATGCTGATTTAATAGTTTATTAGTTCAAGTGTTTGCAACCAGGCAGATTGACCAAATTTCCATAGACTTTTGGAGCTTACTGTATGTATTTGTCTAAAAGCTTTATAAAGAGTCAAATTAAAGAAATGCGCGTGTAATTAATTAACAAGTCATGCCATCTCTCATAATTGTTTTTTTCATCCCTTTCTTTTTAGATGCTAAAGCAGTTCCAATTCAATTGTTCATTCATTTTCATGCAATATCCGATCTCCCTTAAATAAATGGATCTGCTTTATTTGTTACTAGTGTGTGTGGCCTGCAGATGAATCCATCTCCTTCTTTTGGTGGACAAAATATTGTGACCAACCCCACTAATTGACAACACTTTTATACATATATTTAATTACTTGAAAAAAAAGGAAAAGAAACATTGTGGATAATATATTTTTATTCTTGTGGAAACTCAAATTTACATGTGTGTGTACTTTGAAGGGAAAATGTTCTTACGATTCACTTGAACACTCGAAAATTTTGTGTTAAAGTGATCATTTTCCCAAAATCTTTTTTCCTGGCGTCTTAAAAACATAGCAATTTCATCTATTTATTAAATGGTTGTTAATTTAACCATTAGTTGATTAAGAAAATTTATAGAAAATGACCCAAAAAATTACATAAAATGCCTAAGAAAATGACAAATATCCTAAAAAAGCTAATAGCAATTGAGGCCCTTAAATTATAGATAAATTCCAATAGGATACTAATGTTATTTATTACTCATTGAGAGACCAAAATATCATTTTTAACCACTTACTTTAATTGGTGCTACTAAGAAATTATTGGATTACAATTGCAAGTAAAAAACATAGGATAACAAGACATTTTTTCCTTGAATTACAAGACTGAATCATTTGGGATCCTAAACATTTTTTGTTGTTGTAATTTGGACCCTCAACATGTAAAGACATTGCAAGTTTAAATTTTATCAATTAAGTCTCTCAAGTTTAATTTATCTTGATTATCTTTAAGTTTATCAACTTCCAAGACAAAGAAATGATAAATGTGAAGACGCATAACGATTCAAGACTTAATTATTGGAAAAAGGTGAACATGATGACGAAAATGCAACTAGCTAGCTATGATCAGAGGCGATGGTGATGCCCCGACAGAATGATTCCACTACACAATTCTAAGTGTTATTTACCCTCAAACCATAAGAACAAGTTGTGTATAATTATGAAATTTTAGGAACTTAATTGATAATTCAGCTATTGGATATTTCTTATATTCACACGTTAGATTAGTAACCATAGCAGTATGCATGGTGACATGATATTTTGTTCTTCTTTAAATCGGCCATATGTTAGATTTGAGGTCTATCATGATCGTAGCCATCAATGGTTCAATAACATCATGTTCTTCTAATATATGTACAAGACCTTGCAATGCAAGATATCCCAATTATCTCCATTGAGCTTATCCTTTGTTTAGTTCAACAAATTGGTAGTCATTCTTAAATCAGTCACGAAATTCCCACATAAACAGTGTTCTATGTTATTGCATTGAATAAAAAAAGTATTAGTAGTATAGCCCATCAAAGTACATAATGTCATGTGTTTGTATCATTCTCGATTGACTAGAATGTATAATAATATCATTATGCTCACGATCAAGAGCTCATGTTTGTATATTTCAATGCAACATATAGATTCTAGTGATGCCATTACCTTCTATCAAAGAGAACTTATATAGAAAATCTAACTAACATGGTTAACTTTTAGCCCAATTCATTAAAAAATATTTTGTCCTTATTTCTGTTTTCTAGATTTTTTAGTCCTTATTAAGTTTAATTAATTTAATCTTTTGGATTTTTTAATTTCATTCCCCCTTTCTATTTGTACAGTTT